AAATATTCAAAAATCGTTCCACTCATATCACAAAACTCTATATATATATTGATAAGTTGATTTCTATTATTGTTTAAAAATATATAAATAAACAAGAGGGGATCAAATTTGCAAAAGTTAATAAATGTAAACATGAAATGAATCTAGAGAAGTCAATGAAAATGATTTTATAATGAACCAAATATTTAGACCAAAATAATCTAGGCATTTGATCCAAAAGCCAATAAAAGAATCTACAAAATTACCAAGAGCTTACAATAAAATCTAGGAATTTTTATCAAGAATTTGGAATAGATTTTGGAAATTTGAACAAAAAAATTAAAATGGCTCTTGAAAATTTGATAGCCTCGTATCTCCGGCTGGACCTGCCTTTGCCAAAAACTAATTATTATCATAGACATTTATTATTATTGATTATGGGGCTTATCAATAAATAAATAAAAACGTTTTCTTTAAAATAAATATTTTTAAAAATTCAATTTTCGGACTCACTTAGTATTTATTTTAAAATTTCACTTCATTAACCACGCCAGTAGTGAAATATTTATCAAAATGAGCAATTCCAAAAACCGTAATTATTATTGTATGAGATTAGGGTCAATCAATGACTAATTAAATCAATTATTGATCAAATCATGCCAAAAACAGGCCTTTAAACAAAAATTTAAATTTAATTTTATGAAGCTATTAAGGCCTAGAAAATCATGGTTTCTGCACATGGCTCTGAAGATGAACCAAATTAGGTTTCGAAACTTACAATTAAATTATTAACTTCCCGTATGGTAAGTTATAGTAAGGCGCCAAAATCGAAAATGAAATTTTTTGCATAACTTTATGTTTCAGAGGTTTTTGAACATTTTGGCATATTTTAGAAAAAATTGATGTGTATGTGTGTATAGGCACAATTTTTGTCGACGTTTTCGGGCGCACGGATTAACCGATTCGGGTGGTTCAAAAAACATTCGATTCCTTTTGATAGAGAGATGTGCTGATTAGTTTTTGGCAAAAGCAGGCCCAGCCGTTTCGGAGATAAAGAGCAAAGAGTGCAGAAAATAGAAATCGAGTTTTTGAGAGAACTAAGCATACGAGTTGAATGGTTCATAAAACTTTCTTCTTGTGTTCACAAAACAATTACCTTTGGAAAAAAATTATATCAAATTTTTTTTTCTTTCAAAAAAAATTTTGTATATCGAAAATAATTCAGATTTTAATTTCAATTCTGGCAAAAGTTTTAAAGCTCACTTATATACATTAAATAAATAATTTTTCTTTGCAATTTTCAGTTTATATGATTCTTCTTTATAAACATTAGACAATGTTACAATATTTATAATAATCTATTTGAAAACATTCAGTATTCCTCGAACATTTCGTTACGGTACGGGAAGTTCCAGCAATTTGACTTAAGGCACGATAGCATACACCACTAGTTAATTGATTTAGTTCATTTTATAAATAGTTATTTGAAAATTAACTAATATTTTTAATTAAATTTTTGTACATTTTTGTTTTTTGTCCAATTTCTCTAGTTGGCCCTGCAATTGAAATAAAATGTCATCTTGGACAAGTCACTTTTTTGAATACATTTTTTAAACGTCAATTCCTTATTTATAATCTAGTTTTTTTATATCATTTTATACATAATAAAGTGCTTTTAATTATTATTTTAATAATAGTTCATAGTTCTTCTTATGAAGTTTGTTGAATTGTTTTGGAATTGAAATTATGCGTGCAAGTGATTGGGTGCTTTTTCGAATTTTTCACACGACGCAAGTAGAACACAAGGTAATTAATTATTTGTGGGTAATTGATGGTTAATTTTGAATTTTTCGATTAACCTGATTTAGAAGAATTAGATGTATTTATTATTGACTTGGTAAGTGCGGGCCCTGGGGTACAGGGACGAACTCTGGAAGAATAGAATCTTGAAATTGGGTCTAAGGAGTTTGGATTGAGATTTTGGAATAGAATCTGCAAAATGTGGTTTAATAGGAGTTTATACTAAGAATTTGTAATTACCAAATAGAATCTAGGTATTTAAAATGGATTTTAGAAATTTGTACAAAATTTTTAGAAGAAAATTTAATAATTTGGGCCAAAAGTTAGTATAGGTTCTAGAAATTTTGATCAAGAATTTTGAATAGAATCAAGGAAGTAAGACTAAAAATTTATAAAAGAATACAGGATTTTGGACCAAAAATTTTAACTAGAAATTTGGAGCAAATGTAAGACAGTAGTTAGAAAAAAATCTAAATCAAAGAAATATTTTCTTCCATTTATTTACTAATCGGATGTTTAGATTATGATATAACAATTTTGATACCTGATCCCTTATACAAATTATTGTTTATGAAATGTATACATTGTCACAATTCGAATCAAATCATAATAAAATAAGATACAACAATTTCCATTTGACACCACCACATTTTTTCTTAATCAGATATGTTTGAATGGAAAATTTTAAGCACAACAAAGTTTACAACACAATTCAAACAAACAATTCAAAGAATTTCGAAGTTGCAAAATTGTTTAAAAATTTATAAACAAACAAGAGGGGAACAAATATGCAAAAGTTAATGGAATGAATCTAAAGAAGTAAATTAGATAATTTATAGTTTTTGTGAAATTTCTCGTATTGATAGAATTTATAATGAATCAAGAACTTCAAAATAATCTAGGCATTTGGTCCAAGTGTTTACAAAATAATCTACAAATTTACCAAGAGTTGAGAATAAAATTTAGGAATTTTTATCAATAATTTGGAATGGATTTTGGAAAATTGGACAAAAATTTTCGAATGGTTTTTGGAAATTTGGACAAAAAAAATAAGAATGGAATCTGGAAATTAGGACAAAAAAGGACTTAAAAACAATTTCATCAACATCAAATCATTCACGCAATCTTTATAATATAATTAATTAACTATTTAAATAATTTTAAAAATTTTAGTATGGGTTTTGGAAATTTGGACATTTATGTTAGAATAGATTTTGGAAATTTGGACAAAAATTGTAGAATAAAATTTAGGGTTTCGGCCCAAAAATTTAGTATAAGATCTAGAAATTTGGATCAAGAATTTTGTATTGAACCTAGGATTTTTTTTTAATAATTTAGGAATAAAATCTAGGATTTCGACTAAAAATTTAAAATAGAGTCTAGGAATTAAGACTCGTTGCTGGAATGGAATTTAGGAATTAGCCCTAAAAATTAAGAATAAGATCTAGAAATTTGAATCAAGAATTCGTAATAGAAATGAGGAATTAGGAGCAAGAATTCATAATAAAAATCTAAGATTTTTTTTTAATAGAATTTAGGAATTCATGATACAATCTAGGAATTTCGGCCATGAATTTTTGATAGAGTCTAAGACTTTTGAAAGGACAATTTAAATTTAAATTGTCATTCACTACATTTTGCTAAAATTATTTTCTAAATATTAGTTATGTTTGTCATTTTAGGTTCATGTTTGAATTAACTTTTCTACTAGTTTGCTTGTCAGTAGAGTTCCATTTCACAGTCTTGGCTGATGTTAAATTTATTTGACAAAATTTTCTTTTAGCTTACTGGTCAGTAGAGTCCACTTTTTTACATTTTAGAATTTTTGCTCAATTTGTTTGTTAGTAGAACCTTAATTTTCTTCTAGTTTGCTTGTCAGTAGAGTCCTTTTTTACAGTATTGGTTGATGATAAATTTATCTAGTAATATTTTCTTCTAGTTTGCTTGTCAGTAGAGTCCTTTTTTACATTCTGGTTGATGTTAAATTTATTAGACAATATTTTTCTTCTAGTTTGCTTGTCAGTAGAGTCCTCTTTTTACAGTTTTGGTTTTTCTCAATTTATTTGTCAGTCCAGTTGAACTTTAATTTTCTTTTAATTTACTCGTCAGTAGAGTCCTCATTTTATGTTCCAGGTTGATCAATTTATTTGCTAGTAGAATCTCAATTTTTTTTACTAGTTTGCTTGTCAGTAGAATTCTCATTTTACTGTCTTGGTTGATAATAAATTCATCTGATAATATTTGTTTCAGTTTAGTCAGTAGGGTCCTCTTATCTTTGTTGATGTTAAATTTATTTGTCAACATTTGTTTTCCAGTTTGCTTGTCAGTAGTAGAGTGTACTTTTTCGACACTTTCTTACGAAAATCAAAATTAATCCAATCCTGTCTAGAATTATCTTTAAGATAGAGAATTGTAATAGTTTGAAGGACATCTGATATAGTTTGACTATTGTAGTACGCAAATTTTTGCAAAAAAAACACGTTTTTAGAAAAAAAATCGAATTTTTGCAAAAACCACTTTCTTTCAGAATGTCTCGATAATTATGAAATATACGTATAAAAGTATAATCACAAAAGTATAGTTTTGTATAATGTTTTCAACAACCATGAATGAAATTTGACACCAAATAAGGGGGAGTCCATTAATCACGTGATCGATTTTTTAAAGATTTTATTTGACTCCCCCTCCCCCACAAACATCCCGTTTTTAGTTACAAGAAAAAATTGTAAAATTTTTGTTTTTTTTTTGAAAACGTTTGTTTTTTTAAAAAAAAAATTCAGGTAAAAAATAAATACACGAGGTGATATCTTACTATACCCTTCGTGCCCACGTGTTATTTTGTGATTTTTTGTCAAACCCTAAAAACCTCACGTGATTAATGGACACCCTTAAGTTTCCTTAGGGTGCGTCCAGAAATCACGTGGAGTTTTTAGGGGAAGGAGGGCTTTGACAAAAATCACGAAATATTACCTGGGGAAGGGAAAAATGTAAGGTTTTATAAAATTATTGATTTTAACATTTGAATGCTATAGCATCCACGTCATTCTGCACCACAATAAAAGATAACAGAAACATAATGATTACAAAAATGTAAGATTTTATCAAACTATTAATTTTAAAATTTGAATGCTATAGCATACACGTCCGCAAACGGCTTAATCTACTATTTACTCTAAAGTGTTTCCACTGACCTTTATCCTGATCTCTGTCTTCTCTTGCAGACAATAGGCTATGAAAATGAAGATACCTCTAACACCCCCCGTAGGCAATAACAACGGCTATTACAACAACGGCCTCGACTTCGGCGACCACCACCAGCACCACCAGGCCGTCAACAACCACATCAATAACTCTGCCCTGCACCAGCCGCAGCCGCCGCAACTAGACGAGTTGGGCTCGCCGAGGCTCGATGAAGACTTCTCCGAATACCTGTGGATGGAGAACGAGGAAGAGTTCGATAAACAGGTGAGGGAAATAAATTTATTAAATATATATATATGGACGAATGTTATGGCAAGGCAATGTTAAGCTCCGACTTGCATACATTATGCTACTGAATCATACTGAATACTGGCAAAATGTTGTGGTTTGCTGTGCATTAAAGCGTTTTGCACGTAAACTGCAACGTCGCTCGTATGTTATGAAGCTGAGTCAGAAAGACCCGTTTATTTAACATCGTTTTTCTAAAATTTGTGTGGTTTCTAAGTTCGATTTTCTATATGACACCCTGAGAAATACGTCTGACTGCACAGCAACCGCATGGCTTTTATTTTTGTTAGTATGGAATGTTCTTGATAACTTGGCCTTGCCATAACATTGGTCTGTTATGCAGCAGAATCGGTCCATTAATTTTAATAAAAAAAATGTATCTCTAGCTACAACCTAATTAATGAATATCGATTTTTCTGACAATAATGAGATCAAAATACACATAACGAACGCTCACCTATTGATAGAAAAATTGTTCGATGATTACAAATATTTTTTGAAAAATTTTACTAGTATCAGAAAATACTTCATATGTATGACAATAGTAGGATAAGAGATAGATTGATTAGATTGTAATTTATAGCGACGACTAAGACTAACTTACAGAAACTACAGACATTACAAAATAAGACACTACGAATAGTACTTAACAAAATAAGGGACCCACTGACTAGACACATTACTACTCTTCAAAATACATACACAAACAGACTGACGTACCGACAATACTCGACTATATAAAAAAGCTCACTGAGAATTTTTATCTAAAATGTGGGGATCATCCTAATATTAACATCGCGGGCCTCGGCCAATACACAAGAGACGATATTTGGTATGGCAATCACGCCATGCCAAAATATATATTGATCGACCCATATCGCAATTAATACTTGGATGAGAATAAATCTTTTATTTTGTTTTTATTTTATTTTATTTTTTTTTTGTATAATTATGTATAATTATAAATATTGCTCTGTGGCTTTTTTTTGAGGAAAAGTTTTCTTACCTCTTTTTTTGCCACTCAATTTGTAAAACATCTCGCTGTAATTATAATCAACATTTACTGTATATATTAAGATCAGATATGATGTATAAAGTACCCAAGGGTAAAAAATATGCACCAAAAATAGCAATGCAAAATGTATAATTAATTACTGTAATAAATACGTTTTGTCTGTCTGTCTGTTGTAATTTATATGGAACTAGCAAACCCGACGAACTCCGTTTCGCCACCAGATGGTTTCGTGAGAAAGATGTAGAATTTTTTTGTTTGTTTCATATTTGAAAAGGAAAATTTTGATTTTATTATACAACAGTAATGAATTTATTTCGATTACAAAAATGAAGTGTTTTTAGTTGACCTTCTCTAAGTAAATGAAAGTGAATCCGCCAATTATCCATTGAAGTGCTCTTTGGTAAACCACATTTTTTGTTTTTTGGTCTGACGTAACACAAACAAAGCGGTTGGTTTTCCAACTTGCGAGCAGGCAACGTGTAACTGCCCATGTGAAAAACAATGATTTTCTAAATAATCTATTTGAAATTTATCCCGCAAACACTAAGCGATTGGCCTTAAGACTTGTTATTGCGAACGCAAAGCGAACTGGCAATTGCAATCGTTTGAAGTCAAACGGAAAACCAGCCGGAATCATTGGTATGTCACCAAATCGCTGGCAATTTCTGATTGAATTTTGAAATTCAGTGCGTGTACATCATTATTCTTTGCGGCAAGAATTGCTCGTTGACTCGACCAAGCATAATTCTGATAATTCTCACTAATGTCATTACTCGAATTTTTAATTACGGTGCTTGAAGTTCCAGCAATTTGCATTAAGGCACGATGCCATGCACCACTAATTTTCTTAGCTATAAACCTTGCGGAGCCCGAGACCTTTCCAACGAATGCAAAATTGTCGAAATCGGTTCGCGCGTTCTGGAGTTATATCGTCAGGAAAGAAAACCCGACTTATTTTTATATATATATGTAGATTAATGATTCTTATTTGATGGTTTATTAATTGCTTATTAATTTGGTTTAGGTAATGCAACAACTAGAAGAGGAGGCTCTTATGGAACAATGTATCGAAGCAATGTTAGAAGATGAACGCGAAGCTTTATCCACCACAGTGAGGGCGACTTGGTCTAATGGAGTCGAGTAAGTTGAAACATAATATTTATTATGGGGTTATAAAAGAATAGGCTCTTAATATATATATATATTATGTATATATTATGTATATATATATATATATATATATATCTTATACTAGCTGACCCGGCAAACGTTGTTTTGCTAAGTAAGGTATATTCTAAAATATTTCTAGACTCTAGAATCTAGAGTCTAGATTCTACAGAATCAAAAAAATTAATACTTTAAGTGTATAAGAATGTGTTGTTTCAATGCTATATACAATGAGGTATTATAAACCCCATTAATTTGTCTATATTTTGTCGATACAATCAAACTGCTGGAAGTTTTATACACTTTCTATAGAAAACATGGTATAATCCAATCCAAGTCTTTTTTGGTCGTTCGACTTATTGATTATGTTTCGAATTTTTCAGATTCTTTTTGGATTCTGGATTTTGTGTATAATTGTAAATAATACTACTGAGCTTACACAAAATTTTCAAATTTTTGCGAGGAGAGATATAAAATGAAATAAGTATTTCGTCTTTGACCTGGTTTTTGAAAAGTTTCAAGTAACGTTCGATGAATTAAAGTAAATTTAATAAAAAGTATATATGTAGAGTAGGGCGAGGCACAAAGGTCCAATTTGACTTTGAGCAATTCTAAATTATATTGCGAAAACCAAAACAATTATATCACAGCAAATGCCAGCTACTTCATCATTGTAGAAATGTGCTGATTTGATGTCTTTCAAAATTTTGTTATTTAGACCTTTTTACCCCATAGACGGGGTAAATTGAAATGGCCAGGTGGCAAACAGGTTTATAGTCTCATTTTAATTTTAAGGGTATTTTACAAAATAATTACATTTTTAACTAATGCTAAAAAACTACCAACCGAAGAAAATACTTTTATTATGGATTTTCAAAGATTACCGTTTATCTCTCAATAGCAAAGTCATTAAGGTTATAGCTGGTTATACATATTTTTCCCTCTACTTTCAAATATTGTTGTTAAACAATTTTTAACTTTACTGGTTTTTGACACATCGGTGGTGGACCTTTTTAACCCAGGACCTTCATATATTGAACAAATGTCCCTTTGATCGATACCAAATTTAGGTTCTGAATTTAAATGACAAAAATAAAAAATAATATAACCTAGGAAATGTTTTATAAATGCCAATGAGTATATAATTATACAAATGAGATCTTTCAGAGAACCGTGTTTGAGAACAATATGCTTTGCATAAAAAGAGTGCTGCTACGCCAAAAAATGCATAAATTCCTAGTAACACTTATTGCCGCCCGTTTACTAACGTTTTTGTATATAAATGAAACTACAAGCAAATCTACTTACTACAATTCAATCATAATTGAATAATATTCACGTAAAACATCTTATTAAACGTAATTGAACATTATCTGTCAAAAACGTTTGACATTTGACGTATTAGCCACCGTCCATTGTTTTATCCAAATTACGCTTCTACAAAAAATTTCAAATTAAAAATGTAAAGTTTCTTCACGATTTTGAAAAAATATCTCACCTTCTGGACAACCTGCTGATTAGCACGAATTTTTCAAGGCTAAGACTGACCAAATCGAGTTTTAGCGGATCATTTGAAAGAGAGCTCCATTTTTATATATAAGATAAGGAGAACAATAGCAGGTAAATAAGGGGCCAAAGGGTGAACGACACAAAATAGTTAGGGAACCTTTGTTAGATTCTAACATATGTTAAGCTAATTGTGAATCAAATTGTAAACAATTACAGGACAACTACTTACACTATTTTAAAACAAATAAAAACAAAAACCACTTTCCGTCTTACAAATCTGATTTGTCGAATTAACTGTTTAGACTGCGACTTGATTTATATAAGTGAATCTAGAAAAAGTTTAATAAATTTTGAACGAAGAAAAGGAAATCATATAAAGTATTGCACTTTGATAGATTCTTAGTTTCTCTCCTATATATCGTAACTTTGTATTTCGAACTGTTCGGACTATAGGCGAGTCACACTCCTGAAGTTTAAGGAAAATTGGTAAAGCTAAAAAAAATATTTGGACAAACTTATTGAAATATTTCATTGTTTTATTCATATTTTGTTAGATGTGTATATGACAATAGGTTCATTTATATATATATATATATATATATATATATATATATACTAGCTGACCCGGCGAACGTTGTTTTGCTAAGTAAGGTATATTCTAAACAATTTCTAGAGAATCAAAAATATCAATACTTTTAGTGTATAAGGATGTGTTGTTTGAATGCTATATACAATGAGGTATTATAAAAACAATAAACCCCATTAGTAGTTTGTCTATATTTTGTCAACACAATCAATCTGGAAGTTTCATACACTTTCTATAGAAAACATGGTAGAATCCAATCCAAGTCTTTTTTGGTGTTTGACTAGCACGAATTTTTCAAGACTAAGACTGGCCAAATCGGTTTAGCCGTTTTCGAGTTATATATATATATATACAGTAGAATCCGATTAGTATGACGCCGGATATATTGACAACCGCTTATTATGACGTAATTTTAAAGGCAGTTTGGTGTCCATATAAAATTTCTCAAAAAAACAGCTGTCTAGTCGGATATGTTGACCTCGCTTACATTGACATTTCGCTTATAATGACCCATTTTTGAAAAAAAATTTGGTCCAAGTATAATGACCGACATGATTTTACACCTCCGATAACATAGAGTTCATGTTTTTCATTGCACATTGTTATGGTATGGCACCACTGTGAACTACCCTTGTGTGTCAGGTCGCTACATACCTACCCACATACCCACAGGTCTCTATGTTGCACGAGTTGCATGGACGACCTCGTGCAAAAAATAAGTAGGCTCATTCTTGGTGTTCGAAATTTGGAAGCGATAACATCTGCTATAATTTACTGAATTAGTAAAGTTCTATATTTTTTACTATTTTTATCTAGTAATTAAAATTCAAACGAAAATTACAGATTTCTTACATTAAAAAATGCATTGTTATGTCATATTTTTAATTAAATTTGTCAATTTGTTAGTATGTGTCATTTTTTACCTTAATTTTTGTATTAAATTACTGAAATTAATAACATATTCGCCAAAAATTGTGTTTTTTTTTTCAGTACGCTTAGTATGACGACCGCTTAGTATGACGATTTTTCGCCGTCCCTTGAATGTCATACTAAGCGGATTCTACTGTATATATATATATATATATATATATATATATATAAATAAATAAATAAATAAATAAATAAAATTCTTACCCGTATATTTCTTCTCTAGTGCATCAGATCTCTGCGACGAAATGTCGGCCCTGCGCGTCGCCCTCGGCCCCGAGGCGGTCGCCAATTCGACGCTGAATCCGCTGGCGGCAGAATTCGTCCCTGCTCCGTTGGCCTCTGCAGCAGCAGCAGCGGCAGCAGCAGTGAGTAGTGCATCATCCACCGCCGCCACAGCAGCAACGGCAGCGTCCATCGTGACGCCACCGCCGACGGCTCCGCCGGCGCCGCCTGCTGTTACCGCCAATTCGTAACCGCCACATGTGAGTAGTTTGAGTCTGGAGGAGGAGGAAAAGATTTATGAAATATGATTTATATGTGTGTGTGTATATATATATATATATATATATATATATATATATATATAATATGTATATAGATAATAGGAATTTTTTTTAACAGCCCTTTCATCATAATAAAGAATTAAAAAAAATTTTTTTTTATTGATATACGTCTCGACACTTGATATGTATCATCATTCAATAATCTAAAATACAGACATATAAATATAAGTTATTGAGAACAGAATATAAAAAAATTAAATAACAAAATTTAAACATTATAAAAATATGAGAAACATATACATACCACTGGGTGCAATACTTATACATTTTGATAAAATATATTTATTTTTAAATTAAACGAAAATTTAACACCAATTATTTGTTTTATATATTTGTTATATATATTTTTTTATATTTTGTTCACAATTACTCATATTTATATATCTTGCTTATTGCCTTGAGCGTTGAATAAATAAATAAATAAATATCTGTGTTGGATGATGGCACACATCAAGCATCAAAACGTTTAACACTAAAGAAAATTATTTTTTCTTAACTTATTCTTTTTAATTTGATGAAAGGGCTGTTACAACATTTTTTCGAATATGCTTCAACATAAAAAAATCTATCAAGATATATATATATATATATATATATATATATATATATATATATATATTATAAGAAAAATGCATTGAAAGCATATATGTAAGTGTAATATGAAGGTTATTCATATTATTCTTATTAAAAATAGATTTTTAATCGAGTCTTCTCATAAAACAAAAAATGTTGTTAAGTTGTAAATTTATATTTTTGTTATTATTTAACATATATTACAGTTCCAAATTTAAGAAGTATATACTTAATATTTATACATTAATAAAAGAAAAATGGAACCAAATATCAGGTTCTATGATTGGTGGCCCCGACGTTCTATATATAAATATTTTATCTTGGTAGACATATTAGGGTATAAAATCAGAATTACAACATTATAAAATACCCAAAATTATTTTTATATAAAAATAAATAAATATGAAAATAAAATATTAATGAAACATACAAACAAAGAAATATACATAAAACTTTTATCCTTAGACTTCCATTAACATTTATATGCTTTGATGCATTTTTCCTCAAAATTCTAAATATCTCAAAAATTTGTAAGAGAGCTCATCAATTTTAGTATTTGTTTTTATAATAGACATATTAAAGTAAAGCATACTAAAATAACAACATTCTAAAATATCTAAAACTATCTTTAAAAAATATTAAACTTTTGTTCTTTGACTAACACTTGCATTTACATATATGATTCTTGATGCATTAATTCCCTAAAATTCTAAATATCTCAAAAGTTTGTTAGAAAACTCATCAATTTTAGTATTTGTCTTTATAATGGACATATTAAAATATAACATACTAGAATTGCGACATTCTAAAATTTCCAAAACTATTTCTAAATAATATTGAACTTTTGTCCTTCAACTTACATTAACATATATGTAGTATATGCTTTGTTGATGCATTTTTCCTCAAAATTGTAAATATCTCAAAAATTTGTTAGAAAACTCATCAATTTCAGTATTTGTTTATATAGCAGACATATTAAAGAACAAACAATTTTTTTTAATATAATTTTAATAGTTTAATATTAAATAAATAAATTAATGCACAAAAATGTGCAAACAAAGCACCTAACTATTTTCAAACTCTGATAATTTTAATATTATAATTAAACAAAAAAATCTGTCTAAATAAAGATTTAGTAAGAAATTTAATCAGCTACATACTGTTAGAATACTATTTTGAGCTAATTTTTATAGTTTTCGAAGAATTTAGCAAAATACAAAAATATGTAACAGCTTCAAAGTGCATGAAGAAATCGTAAAAGTGAAACTTGCCAATAGGAATTTTTCAAACACTAATTTGCATGTGACATATCATTGAAAAGAGCTCGAAGAGCTGAATTTAGTATTTGTTTTGATTTAAAATTTTGTATAAAAAAGTTTTGTGCATATATATACAAGCCGGCCCGCCAAACGACGTTAAGTCAAAAGAAAAAAAGTTCTAGTATAGAAAAATTTTGTTATAAAAAATAACTAACAGATTCTGAATGTTGAAGTTAAGGTATATATGTGAAAGGAGCAGCTAACACAAAATTAATGATGAATTTTACCCCCTGCAACGTATGCCACATATAAATATCGGCAATTATTTGTATAATATGATAATCAGATCTGCTCCCAAGGGCTCAAATGCTTCCAAATTAATAAACAAAAATTCCCTAAAAATTTAAGCTCTTAATATTAACATTTAGATAGTCCGCAATTCAATTCAAAGTTTACGAAACTTTTGATTGAAATGCGGACTATTTAAATAAATGTTAATATTAAGAGCTAAAATAGAATAGATTTTAGACCATTTTTTTATTACTTTGGAAGCATTTTGAGCCCTTGGCCGCAAAGAAAATCCAAAATGTCCATATTAAGGACCACCCTAATATATATATATATATATATATATATATATATATATATATATAATTTTATTTATATTTTTCTAATGTATCATTTTTTCTCTTTCAGATGAACACTCTCGCTTAATCGTAGCCTACTTACTAAACGTGAAAGGATGTTAAGAATGTTTAATTAATTATTTTACTTAATTAGTTCTCGAATATATAAAAATTTATAATATCATGTACTAAGCAAAAAAAAATTCAATACCATTTTCTAACCACACACACACACAAACAGCGTAGCCGCTGTTTTTTCTCCCGAAGATATAAATAATAGAATTTTTTTTTTATATTTGTAAAAATATTTTATTTTAACATTTCGGAATTGGTGATTATTATATATATAATTTTTATAAATATATGAAATATATAGCAAAAAAATGTTAAAATAAGATATCCTGTGTATTTTTTTCTTTTGATTCACTCAGTTTTTTGTAGTTTTTTTTTATTTTAGAAAATATAGAAATTATATTTATAAGTAGTAGGTGGTTCACTTGATAGTTTTATGTAGTTATAAAGTTTGAAGGTCGTAATAAGAGATTCTGAATATTTTTTGTAAATAATATTTGATATAGTTTTTTTTTCTTTTTTGCTTTTTTTTTTAAAATATATGTACATACATACATGCGTGCGGACGAACTTTTAGAAACTAATTTATATATTCATAATTTTTTATGACTTTATACTTTTTTATAATTTTTTTTTGTTTTTGATTATTTGAGTTTCTGGAGGTTTGTTATAAAAATTAAAACTTGTGAATAAAATTTAAAAATCTCAAAATTTATTCATAACTTGATATGTAAAAGTTTTTTATGTGATATTTTTGAATAAACTATTAGTTGAATTAAGTTAATACTCATTTATGCATTTATTTTAATCACCAAAACATATATATATTATATATATATATATATATATATATATATATATACACACACACACAATTATTTATTTGTACGTTTCGGCACTAAATGTGTGTCATCATTAAGCAAGAGAAATCTTTTGAAATGTTAAAATTTAAGGAATACAAAATTATAGAACATTTTTTATTTTTTTAATTAGAAGCTTGTATAAAAAGTTTTAAAGCTTTGAAATTTTTGATATTTTAGTTTTTCAAATTAAAAAAATATATTGAAAAAGATTTCATACTAATTGTTGAAATATTAATTAAGTTATCAGTTCTGGATTTTAGAGAAGCAATGTGTAAAGAATCGATTTTTAAAAGCTCAAAAAAATTAAGAAACAAAATTATAGATCATTTTTTTTGTTTTAAAAAAAGTCTTTAATGTTTAAAGTTTTGAATATTTTTTTTCAAATTTAACAAAATAATTTTCTAAATGACATCATGCTTGGTTAAATTATTTTAACAATTTATCACTTTTTGATTTAAAAAAAAAAGTTATAAAATAGATTTGATTTTGATGACACACATTTAGTATCGAAAAGTATTTTACCATCTAAAACAAATCGTTTTGAATGGAAAAGTAAAAGTCTTGCAGATAAATTATTATTTTTAAAGATGAAAAAAAAAAGATTTTTTATTATATTTGCTTTTCTCTTATTTATATTTCAGTATCACTTTAATCATTATATAAAAAAATGCTTTAATTTAAATGTAATATCATTTAGTTTATTTTTAATATCAGGTTGTGAATGTGAGAAATGTTAAGGAGACAACTGTTAATTATATATATATATATATATATATATATATATATATATATATATTAATATATATATTAATAAAAATAAGCCAAATCTGTGTTAATTTAAAAATATTGAAGTTACATGTGATACAGATTTTTGTTTATTTAAAATTTGTAATTAAAACAATTCAATTGTCAGCATTGTCATTCATTTAAAATTATTTAGGATTTTTGGAATGGTATTTTGTATATCCAAAGGCATTTTGTTTAGTTTCTCCAATATAAATTAAGTTACAGTCTGAGCAATTGATTTTTGTCAATTTTTAAAGTATTTGTTTATATAAAATTGATCATTTTTAAAAATGCAAACTTTGGAAGAGTTTTTTTCAATTTTTTTTTGAGTTCTGTGAGCACATTTTTAAGTTAATTAGAATTTTTGTAATTGAATGTTGTATATCCAAAGACATTTTGTTTAGTTTCTCCAATATAAATTAAGTCACAGTTTGAACAATTGATTTTTGTTAATTTTTAAAGTTTTGAACTGGAAAACTGTATAAAAGTTGTCTTTGCTTTATTATCTAGCATATCATTCTTCTATATTTTATTTGCCAGATTTGATTAAATATATATTATTATTTAATATATAATAGTTATATAATTAAATTTTACAAAGACATTTTTCTTTCAATTCATCACATGACTTTTTTTTATTAAAAACTATTTTAAGTCCTTGGACAATATTATTCTTCACTGAAATTTTCTTATGGTTTAAATATTTTCTATACTTTTTTAAGCACATTATAAAATGTATTCTTATAAAATATTATTTATAATTCTTGTAAATATTTTTATATAACTCCTAACACACTTGAACAAAATTAATAGTTGTCTCCTAAATTATAATTTATATTTAAACATCACATGTTTTTTTTAAAATAAATTGGTGTACTTATAATGTTATTAATTATATATATATATATATATATATATATATATATATATATATATATATATATATTTGATATTGTTATATTAGGCACACCAAGAAGTCCATCACAAATTTAAAAGCCATTATTATTTAGACAGATCTAAATATTGTAAGATGATATTTATGGCTCAAACAATTTTAAAAGTTGATTTTTTCTGACAAAAGAAAAAGAGTCACGACCGAGAGAAATATTTAGTGATTATTTAGAGATATCAGGTCATCAAATAAGATTATTTTTTTAAATTTTTTTTATTACCCCAGAATAGTCTTTTACCAAACCAATGTACATTATTATCCTGTTACATATATCTATACGAAGTGAAGAGAGAAGCTAAAAGATTTGATTGATGAAGCTTTATTATGAATTTAGAGAAAAAAAGAGTACAATATTTCTGCTAGATTTTTTTTTTACACCCAAACAAACCAACAATAAATATTTCTATTATTTTTGTTGCTGATTTGTTTGTGTTTATTAAAAAAAATCGGCATATATGACAAATAGTGATTGGTACAATTTTGTTTATTGTCAATATAAAATATATTTAATTTAATAAAAAAAATTATATAAGTAGATTTAGTTTGTATGATTATTGTGTAGGGAGTATTTTGAATGTCTTGCATTGATTTTTTTATAAATGAGGTAAATGATTTATGAGTAATAGCTTGTTAATGGATATAAATATATACACATATATATATATATATATATATATATATATATATATATATATTTGTATGACTCACACGGCATTTTGCAGAGAAAGGAATAAGAAAATCAGATTTACAGAAATTAATTACATTTTGATAGCTTTCTAAAAGTAAGCAAGAAGAACTATGTTTATTTACACAATTTGAATTTATAAAGATAAAACAAGATTCGGAAAATCTTCTAAGGTCCACTTTTTTTTCTTTTATATAAATATATAGGATGGTCAGTATTGAAAGAGTGTTTGAAGTTAATAATGTGTTCAGAAAACATTGTTTTAGATTGTTTTGGATTTTTTGAGTTATGAATATGCTGATTTATTCTCTTGCTGATATATTGGGAAAAATAAATTACAAATTTAAAAAGATAAAACAAGATTCGGAAAATCTTCTAAGGTCCACATTTTTTCTTTATATAAAAGTGTTTAAAATTAATAATGTGCTCAGAAAACATTGTTTTAAATTGTTTTGGATTCTTTGAGTTATTAACTTTTTTTTGCACAATACAAGACTTTGAAACATAGTTTTTGATTAAGACGTGTTTTTGGTCTCTAGAAAATCGTCTTAACGGGGTCATAGTGTATATATATATATATATATATATATATATATATTACAAGAAGCTATTACTGTTATTTTGTGATTTTAAATTTATAAATATCAAATAAAAAAACGCTTAAACAAAAAAAAATCAATGCAAGAAAAAATCGCTGCCTTTCTTAACTCTTCTTTATTCTAGTTGCTCTAATTTTAATATATTTAGTTTTATAACTTTATCCTTTATATTTTTGCGAAAGGTTTATTTATAAATTATTAATAAATAAATAATTTATGATAAATATTTTCTTATTTTTAAATGTGCTGTGCATTGTACGCTTTTCGCAAAGGGAAAATGATAAATGATAAATATTTCTAAGTTGGAATTTGTTGGGAAGAGCCATATTTTTTGGGTATAGTAATTGAATTACAAATTTGAAATTTATAATATATATATATATATATATATATATATATATACATATGTGTATATATAATTTTTTTTATTAATATCTATTTTCATGAATTGTGTAAAATTTGCTTAAAGTATGAGCTCTCTATATATGAATTTTAATGTTGAAATGTTTTTAATCTTAGAAATATATGGAGTACATGATATGTAAATAAAATGCAAAATAAAAATTATAATACTTAAAAATAAACTTTTTGTTAATTTCATTTTTAAAACGATATCTTGGTTTTTCTTTGTAGAATCTCATTTGTATTTTGTACCATTTTGAGTTTTGTTTAAATAGTTTTGAAAATGTGAATTATTGAGTGTTCTGGATCCAGTGGCGTACCTAGAACTTTTGCCGCCCGGGGCGATCTCCAGATTGCCGCCCTTTCTATTACAAATAGTGGTTTTTATAAATTAATATAAATAAACTAGTGGTGCATGGCATCGTGCATTGAGGCGAATTGCTGGAACTTCCCGTACCGAAACATAATTTTTTTAAAAAAAGATAAAAAAAAATCGAAAACTATGAAAAAAAAGTGAGAATTTTGGAAATTTTGAGAAAAATTGACTTTTTTGAAAAATCTGTTTCTTTTATATTTTGAAATTTTTTTAAAATTTGTAACTTTTTTTCAAATCAATCGCGCTGCGTAGCTGTTTTGGAGACGAAATATCGAAGTGCGTTGCAGTCTAACGGATAGACATTGATACGGTACCCATAGAAATGGAAATTAAATTTATTCTTATTATTAAAATCTCTAGAAAATATCAGATAATTTGACGTGCATATCTGAAATATCTAATGATCATTTTGGATCGCCAATCATTTTTACTTTTTCTTATTGAATCTTTGTAACCGCTAGACCTGTCTTCCCAAAAACTGTTCTTCGTTTAGTCAATACAATGAATTGAATTGAATTATTTAAATCGGACGCTTTGTTTTCTCAAAAACTTTTGGCTTTTTT